TAGGAATTCAGTGACCGTATTCAGTTGCTGGTTTTATCAGGATCCAGGAGGTTTCGGAGAAAATCTGATAAATCTGGTTAGCGGTTTCCTTCATCTGAAATATCCTCTTCTGCGAGAACTGATCCAGATTTCTCGACCTGCGAGAGAATAATTTCATTCGTTCTGTATATTTTATATTCTTGTTCATATTTAGATAAAATTAAAAATCGATAAATTCTGAAAGCGTTTCGTACAAACGTCAGTCAAGAAAGTTTTTTATCGTGGATCCTCGTCCATCATTTTAAAATCAACGATATCACCATCGTAATAAGACAAGTCAAGAGGGGAAAAGCGGTGCCTGATGGATACTAGGATCCATCAGGATCTAATCCGGTCCATCGGCATAGGTTAATGTTCTGAATATTCATCAAATTCAAGAAAATTAATGAGACTCATAAAATATGGATATAAAATCCAAAGTATGTTCTAAATGAGTTAAAGTGATCTCCATGTGCTAGTTTTCCAACTCTGAATAAGCTTATTCCCAAAGGAAAGAGAGTGAGTTCTAATGTATCCCAGGATCTACTGGAATTCACACGGATCGATTGGAATTCTTGAAAACTAAGTTAAAAAATAGAGAATCGGTCGTGAAATTCCTGGCAAATAAGGTGAAGGAAATCCTAGAGATTGAAATCCAGATGAATGACGATGAAGTTTGATATATCTTGATGGATTTTGCGGCTTATACGATCTAACAGAATCCGTCAATATTCAGCTTTGCCATAATCATTTCATATTATTATGCAACTTGATGATTTCTGTTGATCTCTTTTGGACCTCAATAGAGTCTATGAATAATAATAAATTTTGCTGATGGCGAATATCTAATGTTTTTGAATAGTTCTCTGACATATCTGACAATGATTCTGCACAAATTCGCCGTTTTTTTCTAGGGGAACAAGACAATCAGGAAAAAAATGTCTTCACAAAATTTTAAGATGCTTAGACAAGTTGAATCGGAATTCAATCAAGATCTTGAATAGTTCAGTACTGTTTATCAACTGAAAATCATCCAAGACGATGCGAGACCTTGAAAAAGTCGTGTATCCACGGAATTTCATAATTTGAACAAGATTTAAAACAGGATTTTCACTGATTTCTGAGCAGTTTACCAAAACAATTTTAATAAGAAATATTTGAAGAAAGCAGTAAATCCTTAGAGTAATATGCAGATACGATGTAATACAGATTTTGCTAACATCCGAACGAGATTTTAAACGCATTCTAGGCTCTTTTTTGTTAATTTTATGTTAGGATTTTGCTAGCATTTTCATAATATCTAATTGAAAAAATATTTTCTCATTGCATCTCGCAAAAATTCATTAAGTTTTTTTACCGATATTATTCGATTTCTTAGCGGAATCTTTGCAAGGCTTTCGAGGCAGAAAAGAGAAGAAATGAACCCACCGAGTATTGATCTCTAGGTTTTTGATTTACAATCGATTAGTTTACCTAAGTAGACTGCACCAAATCATTTAATTGCACTTAATCCATCGACATTTTAAATTGTCTTTGAATTATTAACATCTATTCGAACTCTGTATACACACATTATGCTAAGAAACATTCGAAAAGTTAAATATTAAAATTAATACACTGATTACGTGTCATGAAATTTAACTATCACATATTGATTTCAGTTTGAATGAAAAAATAATATTTTAAAATTTTTTAGCACGAATAAACGAAATTTAGTGAAAATTTTCATTGTGGGACTCATTCATTACTAAAGTCCTTTTAAAAGAAAAGTTAGTATAACAGTTAAAATGATATTAAAATCTCATTTTTAATGAGCTTTCAAGTTTTATGTAACAATAAAATCCAATAGATAAATGGGTTGCATGCCATGAGTGTCATGCCGTAGTCAATATAAATGTTCAAAAGATTTGAAGAAAAATCTTCTAAACTTTTGTCCAAATTCGTCAATTTACTTTCATAGACTTCGAAAATGAGTATCAGAATAGGATTCAGGCATGTTCTTGAATTCTTGAGTTTCCATCAGAATTAAAACAAAAATCATGGTAAAATCTTCAGTAGCCTTTCTATTCGTAGCTGTTGATATTTTACTTAACCTGTGGTGGAACTTATTAGGATCCAAAAGTTCAAAAACCTTCGAAGAACCTTTAGCAGAAACTGTTTAAAAATTTTGAAGAAAACTTTTCGTAATTTTTTTAAGACTAAAACAGCTCAATCATAAATCTTCTTAGATTGCTCAAAATCAAGCATTGGACAAGTGTCAAATGAAAATTATAAAGATGTTCGTTGAGCCATAATAAGTTCTCAGAAAGATTGTGACTTCTCGTGGCTTTTTCTAGACAGGATCCTACAAGTTTGTCCTTGAAGAGATCTGAGTGGAATACTGGAAATGGTTAGAAGAGATTTTCATAACAAGATCACATAAAAAACGAGATAGGATCCTGATTGAACCTTGATAGCATTCAAGAGTTTAGTGTTCTTACTGCTCTTGTGTTATTCTTTGTAAGATTCTCGTCTGATCTAACTGTAAGTTGGAAACAATGATAACTAAAAGATTCTGAACAGATCCTGGTAAAGCTGATAAAATCTAAGCAAAATTCTTTCTATTGTTTATGCCAAGGTACTGAATAAGGCTGAGAGTAAACCAAAGTAGAATCCTTCATTTTCAAATAATCAAAATATCTCAGTAGGCACTTGAAAAGGCTCGTAGAAGGCTCCTCTTTCACAATCAAGTATCGTGAAAACTGATGATACTAAAACTCGAAACAGAGTTTTGAAGAAAACATGATAAGAATCTTCAGATGCAGGGTTGTAACAGATCTTTTTAGACATTCTAAAGAAAACACAGGATTGGCACTAGAGTATCAAATTGACTTGAGTTCTGGTACAGTGAGGCCAATCGAGGAAAAAGCGGATTCTGATGGTTCCATGAGTCCTAATAGATTATATAATAGATTTATCGAAATGTACTAAAGTTGCCATAACTTACCGCAATCAACTACTATTCAATAAAAGCCATCACAAAATATTAGAAACAAGCAGAATGTAGCAGAAACCACTAAATATCAAAATACTACGAGGTTGATGGAGGAAGCATAGATTCTGATGGGTTCTAAAAATGCGCACAACTCAACATGACACGCCAAAAGATACGGAGACACAAAAGCATCTCAATGTCTGGGATCTGCTTGCTCTTCTTAGTTACAAATTCTGAAGTAACTTTTTTTCTTCCCTCATTAACAGTAAAACCTGTCCAATCTGAGCACCATTGGGGTTGAACAAAAGTGCACAGTTTACTGAGGTGCACATTATTGGGAGGTTTTCGGAATGTTTTGTTCTCCAACAATGGAGATTCATTTACAACCGTCTCTCCATGACATAAAATAACCTTTTTCTTCTTTTAAATAATTTGTTTATTCAAATAATCATCTATCCTTCTTAAACGATAACTTTTTTACGACAAAAACCAATCTTTCCTAAAATAGCTATGATTAGTGCTTTGAGTAGAAATTTTTGAATCAAGATAGATGCATGTGAGCTTGGACTCAATTTCACTTATAGCTTGGTAAAGTTGAGGATATTGTGTAACAGGAAATGAGTATCTTTGTAATAAACAAGATTCAAAATCCTTTATTAATTCGATTGTTTTAGTCAAAGGTAAACCAATGCGTCTTAGTGTGATTAGATGTAACTAATTGTCCTCACAAAGTGACGAAATGTTTCATTAATGAATATTTTTACTAAAAATTTTTTTTCTTAATACTAATGCTTAACTCATCTTGTCCTTATGTGTTACTTGATTGTTTATTAATTGCAATGTAACACGCACAGTAGAATTTTTTCCCTCGTTCTGCACGTGAAGGGTAGAACACACATTGCTCACATTATGCAAGTTGTTGTTACTTATGGGACTGAAAAAGAGTGTACACAGTTCAGAATAAGGAGGTGCTCATATAGAGAGATTTTAATATACTTTCTTTGGACTCTAATGCGCTCTTGCATCTATTAGGTTCAGATCTTTCCACCTTCGTTTTGGCACACTTCAAATAATTTATTCTATAATTCATCAGGTTCTATCAGAATCCATCAGGATCCGCTTTTCCCCCCTTGGGTTACCTGGTAACGCAACTGAGCGGAAACAATAACTTTCCTTCCATAAATGAATTTTTTACCATTTTCTTTCATCTTACACATGACAGCCCGTATTTTTGTCACTTTCTAAAAAACAGAAAAGAAGAAAAATATGCTGCCTCTTTTTATGAAAACAAATATTGACATCTTTATTACTAATAGCCATGTATCGCTCACCTTAGGTGTAACTGTTGCGTCGATGCGTATCCAACCGATACCAATAGCTAACATGGCAATAGATAACATCTTTGTTATTGATAAAGCAATTCAGCAACAATTCGAAGAAATCGCCGTTCGTCGCCTTGTTCGAAAGCTTGATTGGCGACTCATTCCATTTATGGTTCTCATCGAAGTGATATCATACATAAGCCGAATCAGTACTGGTAGGCAGCTTTGACTTGAATCATCCATTGTTGATGATGGTCTTCTAGGTCATACAAAACTGATGGACATCGAAAGCAATCTGAACTTATCACAATCTGAGAGTAATTTGGATATTTCACTCTTTTTTGTGGCCTACGTGAGAAAATTATGTTATTGAACTGCAATATTTTTGAATGGATACTTTGTTTTAGTTAATCTTCGCAATCCCTAGCAATATTCTCATGCGCTATCTTGGCGCGACTCGTTATCTGTCATTGAGTTTGCTTGCATGGGGTAGTATCACTATCGGTTTGGCTTTCGTGAGAAATGCTCGAGAACTACTGTTTGTTCAATTTCTTCTCGTAAGTGAATCGAATTTCTATGCACAACACAACATTTTCGATTTTTCGTCGAAGGGCATGACTCAAGCAGGCTTTTTTCCTGGTATTGTCATATATTTCTCATTATGGTATCGTAAAAGAGATCAAACTATGAGAATAGCTATTCTTTTTGGAGCCGCAATCATTTCCAGTGCTTTGAGTGGTATTCTGGTATGTACGCATCGATTTGATAAGATACGTGATACTTATTATAAATTTAGGCGTATGGTTTCACATACCTGGATGGTACTCGTGGTCTGAATAGTTGGCAGTGGATGTTTTTGCTTGAAGGTCTGCCGATGATTCCTCTCGGTATCATAACCTGTCTTTTTCTCAGCAATATACCCGATACCGTACAATGTAAGAGTTCATAGGATAGTAAGAAATATTCTCAACTGGTTCATTTTAAAAATTAAGGGTTGAATAACAGTGAAAAACAGCTTTTGACAAATCTTCTTCGACATGATGCAGGCATAGCCAATGGTGAAAATGTTCGACTTTCATGGCGACAAGCATTCTATGTTTTTGTCGATTGGCGAATATATTTGTATGCACTGATTGATATTGGTATTTTGAGTGTTATCAAATATATAAATACGTATCTTCCGTTGCTTGTCGAAGATATGGGTAATTCGAAAGCTGAAGCACATTTAATGACAGCACCACCTTACGTTTCCGCATTTGTGTTTTGTCTATTGGTTAATTATTCATCATCGCGAAGAAATGAGCACGGCTTTCATCTCATGTTTTGTCTATCTGTTACTCTAGTCGGCTTTATTCTTATGCTCACTCTGATCGATCGAGGCCAAGCGGCACAATATGTCAGTATTTGTATTGTTTGTTGTGGCATATTATCGGCATATCCTTTGTTACTATCTTGGTCAACAAATAATGTCGGCGGGTATACAAAGAGAGCCATCGCTATCGGTTTTGTTGTGGGTATTGGTCAAATTGGTGGAATTATATTACCTTTTGTCAGACTGTTGCTACTATTGCTAAATTCACAACTATTTTTCTTTCTTTTTAGGTGCATTATGATGACTCAACCAATCGACGTAACAATTTTATTTATCTTGGAATGGTGGCAGCTAGTTTGGTCCTTGTCATTATTTTACGCATATGTTTGATGTTGGAGAATCGTTGGCGAGATAATTTATCACGGGAGAAGTATGATCGTATAGCAGCTATCAAAGAGTCTTGTGACTGGGTTAGGTCATGTCTGATTAACTTAATCTTTTTTTTATCACTGTTCTCTTGCAGCATCCCCAAGTACGATACGTCTTGTGACATGCCAGCTTCATCTCGTAGCTGACAAATTGAACTAATTTTTCTAATCAAATGATTTTGCGAGTAATCTTAGAATCTGTCGAACAATAAGTTAATGTCGTCTTCTAAACGTATTTCAAAATTAACTCTTCAATAAATGATGCATCACATTAGATCGATAGCGACTGCTATAACGAGCAAACAGCAAGACGATCTACCACCCGTTGCAATAACTGGGTAAGAAAAACAACAAAAACTCCTGATTTTAGTCGATTTTTTGCTGATTAAAAATCTCTTAAAACCAATATTTTTTGTAGTTTTTTAAATGAACTGTGTTGTAATTTTTTTCTAACTACAAGAAAGAAAAAACATGATATTGAATGAAAAAGTAATGATGAAAATAAGTATATCGTGGTTCGATTACGTTTACTATTATGTACACGCCTCAACACGTGCCTAATATTCGTGATATTGTATGAAAGGTTAAATTGCCGTACATTCTACGGAGTGTAGTTGATGATACATGAAAACGATCTTATATAGATAGGTTTTAAGAGCGGCACCTTCCTTTCATCAATAAAATATTCTCTAAAACGCACTAGAGTAGTGTTTCAATAGTAATTACTCCACTTGTTAATCCTTAGGTTTAGTCGATATATATATCAAAATGAGGTTCTTTTATTCCTCTATCAAATGAGATATAATTATTTAAGAAAAGATGGTCTGTACGAATTTGGTGGAGACAAAAGACACTAGAACTAAAAACAGTCGAAAGAAAAAATATTGAAATATTATTAATGCCAATTCACCACACACTATTCGCGTATAAAGTGACAGATATGATGCTGTCGCAAATTATTCATGCCATACTGTTGATATGAGAGAGAAGTTGCTGCTACGTTACCAAGTAATTGGTAACGGTGTCGTTATCCGTTACTCAGTAATGCTGGCAGGTAACACAAAATTTCTGACTTTATAAAAGAAAGGCTATTTCCCAAATAAAGTTTGATCAGAGATTTTTAGAGTTGAGGTATCCAATTCTAATGATGGCTCTCAAAATTTCTGGACTGGAGATTTCCATTAGACAACGGATATTTCTTGAAAATAACGATATTTCATAAAGTTTGATCAAAGCTTTTTGAAGTCGAGGAATCTCAACTGCAAGATGGTTTTTCGAATTTTGTGGACTTGAGAATTCCACTAGAGACAGGCTATTTTTCAGGAAGCCTTCTCTTCACTATTGTAAGTACAAAATATGGTATTGTTCGGGCCCTATGAAAAAGGGCTCCTTCTAACTCTCTCTGCTTGGTGCGGATAATAATGTTTTGTCCGTACAATAGTGGAGAAATCGCTTGCTAAAATCTAATTAGCTATGAGCTTTTTCGCCTGGAATAATCAGATTTCAACAAGGATTTTGTCACTATTGTAAGGACTAAACATGATGTTGACCGCACCAATGAGAGGCTTTAGAGGAGTCTTCTTTCATATGGCTCAAACAATACGATGTTTTGTCCTTACAATAGTGAAGAAAAAGCTTTCGGAAAAAATAGCCTGTCCCTACTGAGATTCTCAAGTCCACAAAATTCGAGGAACCGCTTTGCGGTTGAGATTCCTTGACTTCAAAAGTCTTTGATAAAACTTTATAAAATATCGCTATTTTTGAGAAACAGCCTTACTTTTATAAAGTCAGAAATTTTCCGTTACCCGCTACCAGTTACATGATAACATATCTGGGCGGGAACGGTAACTTTCCTCCCCTAGTTGTTGAAAGGATGAATTGAAGTTTCACCAATAGAACTTGCGATAATTTTTTCTTTTGAAATTTTTTATGTTCGGTGTTTTTTTCCTATGAAAGGACGAGAGCGCATAAGAAGTCAAATCGGCCCACCAGTACTTTTCTTGACCATTTCCGTTGAATCATATGTCTATGGAAAGAGCACGCTGAGATTGACATTTTAACGCTAATTTTAAGATATTTTAATCGAATTTTGAGAGCTAAAAGCTACTAACTAAAAATACATTTTTAGTCATTAATTTAGTAATTGATATTATCACCACGAATTCCTTTTCAGAATAAATAGACGACACAAAAAATGCTCTGAATTTATTTATTTCATAATCTTTTGATAGGGCTTCAATTCCATATATGAATTACCGACTGGGTAGTGAATTCCGTGACATGTAGGTCTAAAATACTGGTGGGCGCTAGGGATATAACTCCTATTGTTGTCATTTCCTTTTATATTTTTACAAATACTTTAAACTGAAAATTGAAATGTTCAAACTATTGTTATTGCTCATTTGATAGCTCTTTTCAGAAGCTACCAAACTGTATGTTTTCTAAACACTAAATACACTGATCATTGGGGTAATTCCTAGTCACATTGTGCTGGGAGTCCAGTTTTTATACTTTTATAACTAGTATTTAGCCATTTCTCATCGAGAAAACTCCAGACTATGTCAAAACTAGTATCATATTCGGAGTCAGCATTACAAGCTGGGCCGACTCATATATGTTTCAAATATTTTTAAGAATTGTTTTTCGTCGAAAAATTCATCCTTATCTTTCTCAGAGGACTGTCAAAACATGGTATCTCTAAAAATGATGTTTTTATAGTCTAGTTTTCTGTGGTTTTGCTTCCACTGTCATTTACGAAGTCTGAACGTTTCGTTTCGTAAGACAAGTGTCATTTTGAGAGGTATCATTTTCTGATGATTTCCTGCGGAAGAGTAGGGGTGAATTTTTCGACAAAAAAAATTCTTAGAAATATTTGAAACATATATGAGTCGGCCCAGCTTGTAATGCTGATTCCGAATATGATACTAGTTTTGACATAGTCTGGAGTTTTCTCGATGAGAAATGGCTAAATACTAGTTATAAAAGTATAAAAACTGGACTCCCAGCACAATGTGACTAGGAATTACCCCAATGACTAGTATATTTAGTGTTTAGAAAACATACAGTTTGGTAGCTTCTGAAAAGAGCTATCAAATGAGCAATAACAATAGTTTGAACATTTCAATTTTCAGTTTAAAGTATTTGTAAAAATATTAAAGTAGATGATAAATATAGGACTTCCCATGACAAAGTTTACAGAAACCATATACGGAGAGAAACTGTCCGTGCACGCTCTTTTTCGATCGTATACGGCCGTATTTTATCGTAATACATGGCTCAGTATTATGATCGTATACCGTCGTGGCCGTATACGGTGAAATACGATCATTTACAGAGAAATACAGAGATCTTATATGGACTTCGTTTATAAAGATCGTAAACAATAGTATTCTTCTCCATATATTGCCGTATTACTCCGTATACGACACGGAAGTTTACGATCGTAATATTGAGACATGTATTTAGTCATATTTCTCCGTATATGACCATGTGCGACCGTACTTGTTCAACCTGGGTTATATCAATAGTGCTTGCCGGTATCTTAGACCTACATGTCACGGAATTAACTAATCGGTCGGTAATTTATATATGGGATTGAACCGTCTTCAAAGAGCTGGGTGTGGGTGAGGGTAAGAAAGTTTGCCGCTTCATCCACACTCAGACCCCACACCCACACCCACCCTTTTTTAATTTCCTTTTTTGACAAGAATGAGACCTTATATGTATATGAAATACGATGTCAAATATTACAGAAATACTATTTCTGTGAAAAAAATCATGTACGATAATTATGTTAATGAACATACAATACATTTTCCAGCAGAAGTGAAATGGACAAAAACAAATTGATATTGATTAGATACACACAAGAATAGAAGAAGAAAGATAAGAATACAACATTTAAATTGTATTCAATATAAATGAATGACAATGAGAAGGAATGTCTTTTTTTTCACTATTTGTTCTGGAATTTTTCATGTCAACGGATAAATAATATATTATCAATTTGACTTCCTGATAAACGTGTTCGTCTTTGAGTAAATGTCAATTCAGCTGAACTTATTAGTCTCTCCAGCGAAGCACTGGTCGCTAGTATATCATACATATATGAGGCGCCCCAAGTGTTTTTTATTAGCGAGGCGATATTACATTTGACTGATGCATTAACGTTAAGTCATCTCAAAAACATGACTTAACTCTGTTTTAACTTTTCTGCCAAATCTATTGTTTAATTTATTTTTATTTCTCCTAGTATGTTTGATCCCTTACTGTGTAACAAAATCATTCTATGGTTTGTTCACCAATTATTGAATGATTTTTTATTTTGTTCCTTTGCGATCAACACGCACAAACCAGAATAGATAACAAAACTCTCTGAGATATTTTTCACTAGTGTCCCAAAAGTTTCTGACAACGTTGAGAACACTTTATCTGAAACCATTACACATGTCACATCTAAGCAATTCGGATTGGATAAAATGTCTCCTGTTGTGACTATCTCTTGATCTAAAACTCACTAATGCATGCTGTATCCAACTCTCTAGCGTCCTCAAGTTATTTGTATAGCTTATTTATGTCTAATTTTTTTTTGATACCGACCTGTAGGACGCAAATATTATCCTGCAGGTCCTACGTCAATAAAAAAGATCGTCCTGCTCCTGCATATGCAGGACTGGTGCACAAGAAAATAGCTAACTTGCATGGTAGGTCCTGCAGGTTCTGCGACGTTCTCTGAAATATATAGTTTACAAGTTCTTATTCTCTGAGTTAATTATGTTTTGATGTTTATTTTCTTTTGTTTCATTAAAAGATATTCTGTGGAGATAAAAAATAATGTTATTGATAATCTGGTTGAAAGCAATGTAAATTGAGCAAAAATCTTTCGGGATTTTTTTTCGGATTTTAAAAATGAAATTCCGGAATTTTCCAGCTTTTGACATTTGAATTTTGGATTTTTTATTCTCACATCTGGTAACCCTGTTTCAGAACTATCTTATCCTAAAACTGAGTCCGCCGTGATGAGATCGATTATTGAATTAATGACTAAAAAAATTAGTTACTTCATTAACAGCTTGTCAATTCGAAAATTCGATAAAAATCTCATAAAACTAGTGTCAAAATGTCAGTCTCAACATGCTCTTTCCATTGATATATGATTCAATGGGGTTGAATCAGAAAAGTACTAGTGAGCCGATTTGACTTCTTATACGCTCTCGTCCTTTGCGTGTAACATTAGAATTGTTTACAGAGATTTGTATCTACTACACTTATCGTGTTCTGCAACAATTGGCGAAGAGCAATAATTCCCTTTTAAAACCAGGCCTAATACAGATACGTTTCGAAGTCGATCGTCTGTAGAGCCATTTGAAAGTGACGTCATCTAAAAACGGCTATTTTTAACTTCTATCTTCATCCTCATCATCTGGCGCCATCATTTGACCAAAACTTTTTCTCATGTAAAGAAGTTTTGAGATGACAGGGACTGAGGTCATTAGGCGTTTTTATTTGTTCAACAAATTTTTTCGTACAAACTGGTCAAAATAAATATCAAAGACTAGAAGTTTTACGTAGAGAAAAATCTAGATCGATCGTGCCACTCGGTTCCTTATGTTCCGACGATTATCTAATTTTTTACCAGTGAAATACGCCGAAACAGAATGGAATCAACTAGTTCCCAAGAAGGAGAATGACCTGGAAAAAAATCGATTAAAGAAACTAAACATTTCGTCTCGTCGAATTGCAATTTGATGTAGCGAGAGCAATCAATGTTTGCTATAAGTGAACAATTGCCATTCTCTGACTTGAAATGCTTGAGAATGTACTTACTGGCAACAATAAAATGAGTTGAAGAGGAAGAAGAAGATTTTTCATTATCAGCGGTCATCTGTCACCAAGAGAAAAATTATTTCTACCATAGCGCTGAAATTTTTTTACTTCATTAGTTTTATCGTTTAAAAAAAATCTTATGGAAAAAAACACACCACTAATCATCCAGATTCTTCTTCCTTATTGCCACCTCGCTCCACTTTCTGACTGACTCCTTCCTTCTCCTTCGGTGGTGACACCATTTCCGAGTAGTTAGTTACTCTCGTGTAGTGATTGTTATAGATTTCTGTCGTAGTAACATTAAAATTATCAGTATAAAAGTTACAAAACTGATTTTATTGGACATGGCGTCGTCAGTAAGAGAATTAAATTCGAAGTCGTCACTTCGGAATGAGTTCATATGGGAATGTCAAAGGAATATTGATCCATGGGATGCAACGCAAACTGTCGAATGGACACCTTATTCTAATGCTATATCGTCAGATATCGAAGAAGCTTATAAATGTGGTTTCAAACAGATATTTGTTGACGGACATTGTCGTATTGATTTGAAACACTACGTAGAAGAGCATATCAACAATCCACATCGACAACGACCCGTTCGACGACGACGATGTCGTCTTCCTGCAACTATTGTTATCGAAGGAGAAACGGAAGATGAATCATCACGTCGTGAACGATTTTCATCTCCTTTGGGATTAGTTTTGAGCCGCAGTGCAACAGAAGATACAACTTATTATGGTTCGCCATTTATTCACGTTTGGTTAGTGATATTTACCAAGGGAAAAATGAAGGTTACATTCGATACCATTTTTCCCGTTCTTGTAAAAGGTTTGATCGAGGAGGGACAATCCGATACAAAAAATAAAGTACACGAAATCGAGGCGGTGTTGAACGAGGTCGAAGAGGACACTCGTGAAAAGAGTTCGGAAATGAGAATAAAAGAGCTGCAAAATTGCTGTGCTAAACTTTATACAAAAGCATGTTATATATATCGTGTCGTAAACGCTGCATTGCGTGACGATGATCGAACCAAACTACATACTCTCGGACCCTTTTGCTATCTTCTATTCAACTATATTGGCGGGCGTTTCAAAGACAATTCTTCCATTAGCGATCGTCTTCGACGAGTTCTTCGCCCAAACGAAATTCAATCGATGACTCTCTACCGCGGCGATCGTAATTCTGGCAGCACTGTAGAAGAATATCGACGGGCAGCTGGAGACTGTTCCAAACATTTTAAATGGCTTCCATTTGTTTCCACTTCGTACGAGCGAGCTGTGGCTGAAGAATTCGCAGTTGATATTTTGTATATAATTGAAATGCGATCTTATTCGTCGAACGAAGATCAATTTACAGATATGGCAACCATCGGTCATTACGCTAACGAAAAAGAAATTTTATTACTACCAGGAGTGCAATTTCAAGTAATCAAATTAGAATTTGATAATGAAAAGGGACTACATTTGGTCTATATTAAAATTGATTCATCGTACGTATCCAGATTGAAATGATTGTTGAGACCAGTTTCATTTGAACAGAAAAAAAAAACAGTTTATGATGTCAAAAATAAATCAATTGTGATCTTTTCAGCCTGAAAATGTTAATAAATTGATCTGTAAAAAAAATGATTGAATAATCCGAATAAAATAAGACGATCTTGTAATTTTTTTTCTGATTATATATGTGTTAGTGTTTTATTCATATCTCTCTCACTTTCACATCCACATCCAACAAACACGCGCAAAACAAAACGAACAAACTATATAATAAAGTATCAAAGAAAAGTGCGGGTGTGGATGTGGGTGTGTGTGTAGGTGTAAATATGAGTCTTCTATTAACATCCACCCACCCTTGTTAAATATTCATTTTTCGATTGGTTTGACCCATGGTCGTCATATTTTTGATCATAGTTTCTGAATTTTGTTTTGATTGTTACGATTTATCTATTTTTTTAGCTTCTTTTTCCTTATTTTTATTATTTGGTCTCAAAACTAAAACTGGTTTGGTACATCTCTAGTCTGATATCTATCCGACGATCTCTACTCAGAGTTCAACAAAATCAATATTTGTGTATTTAGATGTTGGATAACAAGTTTTTATTTTGATGAAATGAGCGACGGTACCTTTTTAATTTTTGATCATACGAAAAAAAAAATTTCCAACTGGACTTACAGTGTTTCAATGTTTTTCAAACACATATCTCAGAATATTTTTGATTTAAATCTCTTATGAAGCTCAAATCTTGACATATTTATCCTTTATTTAATCTTTGAATGACATCACAAAAATGTTTTAGAAAAAAATCCTATGAGATGGATTAAACAAAATCTGCTACATATGAATCGTTTCTATTGAATTCTAGAATTTTCGCACCATCATTAATAAACAACGATATTTTGTGATAGTTTTTTTATATGAATAACGGTTAAATATATAAATATATTTATCAATTGATATCGATAGTAAAATTGATACTGATATTAACATATTGGATATAATAAAAGTATAAACTATTAAACATATGCAATAATTATTCCGTATTAAATTCAAACGTGTTAATAATATCGAATTATAATTAAGAACTGCAGATTCGATAAAAATCTTCATTATATATGGATATAAAAATTAACAACCATTAAGAAAATCCACAATTGATAAATTTATTAAGAAAAAATATCTGTTATTAATAAACATAATTTTATTAAATTTAAAATCATTAATGTTACAATTGTAATTAATTTAATCACAAGTGCAGATAAAATAATTTCAATAATAAATAAATGAAATTTTCGTCGTACTTTATTAGAATTTTTTTCATATTCATTATGATTCATTATTTCAATATAACGATGAAAATAACTAACTAATAGATCAATTGTTGTAGAAAGATTATTATTAGTTGATAGTGATGGTGCAAAGAAGGCTTCACATTGTGCAACAGTTACAAGATCACAGATACGAGTATTAAATAATATAATACTATTGAAATCGTCAAACATTATCCTTCAAAAGTATAACTTTGCTCTTTCGAAGTATTGGTTTATTTCGGAAAAAAAACCATTTGACCTTGGCTCTCGAGAGCTCAAAAACTAAACGCTATGAATAATACGAGATTTTCTTTGTCAGAACTCAGCCAGTTTTTGATAAAAATCGTACATTTGAAATAGCATCAAAAAGTAACTCGATCAAGATATTCATTAATACAAGATCATTTTTATTGCTCTGATTTTTTTCTAATTTGTCTACGAAAAACAAATAATGATAGGTTAATTATTTCATTTATCTTCTATTGTTCATGTAATCATTTTGATTGAGCATTAAAATTTATTATAATTGGATGAAATGGAACTGATGTATCGCTATTTTAGTGTTCGACAACCTTTGTTAAATACATACTAGAAGAAGGAATGACGTATATATCATGTAGTTATATTATTAATCTTTCTCTCTATGTCTTTTGAAAAACTATACGAACTTCATTTAATAAATGTTATTGGTTTTTGTACTTTTCAACTTATTCATGTAAAATTCTACTTGCTATTCTGTTGTCTTATAATACAAAATATGAAATAGATGTTTTTCGATTTTTCTTGTCAACACATAATAATCTTTTGAAAAAAAAAGACCAATAATGTGCGTTGAATTTGTAGAAGTAACTTATATTTGCTTTTCATGCAAATAAAAACATATGCAAATATAGTGTGTATAGTATTATTTTTTTTTATAGACTGAGAATATTAATAATTTCTTATCACAATATGTCATCAACTTCACCTTCTTTACAAAATATTCAACGTCAACATAGAGAACAAAATTCTTCAAGTGGAAAATTTCATATTTTCTTGTGTTTTGCTGCTGCTATATTATTATTATTTGGTATTTTTGAGTCATATAAAACTTTTGGATTTATCACTCGTCAATGCCAAGTTAAATCCATTGATTTAGTAGAGGACAATGATGCTTTTTATCCACGTTGGTTAGTTATGGTAATGTATAAAAATCAAACAAAAAGCGGTATTTTACTTTCCACAACTGGTCTGGGAATAGAAAGTTTGGCATAGAAGGTAGCACAGAAATATAAGGTAATATTCGACCTTTTACATTCAAAAAATAATTAAATCTTTTTATAATACTATAGCCAGTAAATTAAAGTGTACTACAACATTTTAACGAGACACTTATTTTCCACCCAAAATCTTCATTTTTTTTTCGTATTTTATTGTTTATCTTGGATATGTAGATTTAGATGCCTTCTATCTAATAAATATATTTTAAGAGGACGAAATCACCTTTTTTGTATGTAAAAAAAACTCAATTTATGCTAACAAAAGTTAAAAATTATAACTTTCTTCATGTTTTTTTCAAAATCAAATTTTCAAAATGAAACACATCAGAATTTCTATTAAAAACGTAGTGGGAATATTTGTGAAGTCGGGAGAAGAGGAAAGGACTTCAGGTCATTTTTTGACCTTTGCACTCATAAGATCCTCGAGAAGAAAGTATTTGCAGACTTCGTGTCTGTGACAATTTCACACTTTACTCATCGAGATCTTCCTACTCTGAAAGTTTCAAAAATTTTCTCCGTACCATTCTTGAGCAACTCTGAAAAGAGGAAGAAGATTCTTCTTAAGTTTATTATTTATTAAAACGATTTTTGATGGATCTTGACTAAATTGCCACAATATAGACAATCCTCACTGAAGAAATCCAACTGAAAAATGAATCTTTTAACTTTTCTTTTCCTTGTTTCTTGTTAAAGTAACTCTCTGATAGAGGCAATTCACTATACATATTTCCTACTTAGTTTATGGAAAATTGATTTGGAAATACTGCAGTATTATCAATGTCTAATATTGAACTAGAAAATCAATAATAAATTTTACTTTACTTTTTGCAAAATAAAATAAAGATGACATGTTACTTTTACTTTAGATAAATCAAACATATCCATGTTATCGTTCTCGGATTCAAGACTCATTTCATCAAAGGAGTTGCCAATGGAATAAACCATCGAAATTGAAAGCCTTTGGGTTTTTATTTGGTGGAATATCATTATTTTTCATAGGCACGCTATATATGATGCTGAGACGATGTCGTGAAGTAAAATCTGAAATTACAAGACAACAGCAACAACAAGAAGAAATACTATTAAGAAGTGACGAACGACAGCAGCCAATAGCACCTCCGGAAAGTCCATCTCCTCCCTATGAAAAAGTAGTACAACCGTCTACGGAAAGATAAACAACAATCTAGCCTATACATGGTGGCAATCATACTATTTTATCGTTGTTATCCTCGATTTTCGTTATATTATCCGTTCCGATAAGTTTCTTCTTTTCTCGATTTCTAACGTTTCTACAAAAGATTATGTTGTCTGTGAGAGAATTGTAACTAAAACTATAGAGTAGCTAAACGCATCATAACTGTAAATGGCAATTAGAAATGCTCCTTCAGTTGGTTCTTACATAATACATATCAAAGAAAGTTTAATTGTTATTAAGAAAAATTTCTGGATTTTTTATTACTTAAAATTCATTTGGATTTTCTAATGAGATTATGGACATGTTTCAATAAATGAATAGGGATAGTTTAATAAAATGTAATATTTTAAAGTTATTATTAAACAAGATTTCAACTTTTCTGAAGCGATTCTCATCAAGAGTTGCAAAATAAAACGAGTTATGAGTAAACTCATATTTGAACATAGTGATATTCTTTGTTGAGATAGATGAAACCAAGTAACTCTGCAGGAAAATAAGTGATGTTATAAAATCCATATTAAGATTTAGCAACCATGTACATAACGAGTTTGATATTCTCAGATCAAAATATATATCTTAACAATCATGAAATTTGAATTTTTTTATTGAAAGAAGATCATCATTTTAAAGCTGTAGTACATTTTTACGCGCTTTTTAACTTGAATGCTCATCATTAACTGCATTCACACAATAAAATCATTCTAAATTGTTGTGTTGCTGCATTTAATAGATTGATAATTGAATACATATAACTAATGGAATATATTATCATTTAAATGATGAATAGAAACGAATTAATATTATTGTAAAACATCTTCTTGTCTACTACTAGTATTTCAACACTGGTGAATGTTATCATTATATAAACTGATTTCTATTCGCTTCAATACATTACATAGTCAATATTCAGAGAGAATCATCATGAGATTTTCGTATACATTTACCAAACTTCTTTGTTATACAAAAAAGTTTTCGGTCTAATCTTCATACAACCTCTATCGTCCGATAGTTGCCGCCATAATCACCATAATTTTACCATTATTCTCAGGTGTATGTCGCAGTTTAAGAGTAATGAGTTAGCTATACTAAGGAAACCTAAATCTCTCAATTCTGAGAGCGTATATTTCAACTTTGAGTGACGAGATCATTACTCCATGCATCAGCCGTTTTATGCAGAACAAAATACACTCTATTTCCAGTAATTCATTGGATGATCTGAAGATGATCTCTGAACATCACATGTAAGAATA